CTGGTCCGGAATCGTCGCCCTGATCATGCTTGCCCCGCCTTGCAAAGAGTATTCCAGACTCAAACTTCGCCCGGGCGGGCCCAAAGCCTTGAGAACGCCGCAGCACATGGACGGAGTCCCCGGCCTTTCGCCCACACAGCGTACCAAATTGCTGGATAGCAAAACCATCCACCACCGGGGCAGAGCCCTGTTCAGAGCAGTGGTTTCCAAAGGGGGCATCGGCATTTGGGAGCAACCACCATCAGCCATGTCCTGGTTGGAAGAGGCCAACTTCCAAATGCTGCGCGATCACCAGTGTGCCCTGGTGTGGGTAGACGCCTGCATGCACGACAAAGCATTCGCTAAGTCATGGGCATTCGGCAGCAACAGTTCGAAGGTACAGGCCCTGCAGGCCCGCTGCAATCACCCCCACAAGCATCAGAGTATTGCAGGAGTGAAGGAACAAGGGGTATACCTCAGCACACTGACTGCAGAATACCCCCCTTCCCTGGCCCTGCAATTGGCCCAAGTAGGCATAGGAAGGGTAAGTAAAACAGGCTCCTTCCGGCTAGCGCTGCCGCTGCACTCTCACTGCCCTAGCACCGTCACCTTGGCGCCTTGCAGGCTCCCCACCTGTGATGGCGCGGGAATGCACTCCTCAGCGGATTGGTGTCTCCCCAAGCCCGAGCACCCTTTGCAGACAGTCGCCAAGCCCTGGCTGCACTGGATGCATGAGCGCAAACTCGTGCCACGTATCCTGGCACACGTCAACAGCGGGTCCTCAGACTGCCCGCTCTCGCCCTCCGAAAGCCTGGAAGCGGCAACTCTAGCGTATACCGCTTTAAAACTGCCCTGCCCTTCAGATATGAGCCCCGAAGCAGGACAACCATACCGGCTCCACCTGTTGCATGCCCTGGCCAAATCTTGGGGTGACCCCGACATGGCCCTCCTTCCATTTTTGCAGCTTGGAGTGCCAACAGGAGCCGTATCAGCCTTGCCTCCAAGCCTTCAGTGGCCAGCAAAGAAGCCAGACTCCATGCCGCAGCCGGATCTGGAAATTTGTGAAGGCAACTGGAAGATGGCCGAAGACGAGCCAGAAACCGTGCAAGGTTTGCTGCGCAAGGAAATTGCTAACAACTGGATTGTTGAAACCAGCCTTAGCATAGCCGACGCTCGGGAAAAGTGGCCCTAGGTATTGCCGTGGGCAAGCTTAATGTCGTGTTCGCCGAAGGCAAAGAACCTCGCCTTGTCTTGGATAGCACCGTGTGCCAGGTCAATACCAGATGCCATTTGCCAGAGCGCCTTAGCTTGCCCATGGCCTCTGACTTGGCGCTGTCCACGCAGCCAGAGGATACTCCAGGTGCCTTCATCGGCGCCAGCATTGACTTCAAAGCCGCACACAAACAAGTGCAGGTCCGCCCAGAGGAACATGGCCTTCTTCTCTTCGCCTTTCAAGGGAAGCTATACCATTACAGGGTATGCCATTTTGGGGGCCGTTTCTCGGCCTTCTGGTGGCAGCGCACCGGCGCTTTCTTGCTTCGTCAAGTACATGGGTTGCTAGCCTGGAAGCCGCACAAAGCCTTTCTCTTCGTGGACGACCTGCTCTGTGCACTCGTCCGGGATAGCGCACCAGACATGTTTGCCTTGGTGGTGCTCTTCTTTTGTGCCATTGCAGCACCCATTTCGTGGAAAAAGGTGCAATTCCAGGATAGCCTGGTTTGGTGCGGATGGGAGATCCACTTCTCTCACGACACCATCCAGCTCATGTCCTCAAAACTGGCCAAGCTGGACGCCTTAATCAAATCCCTGCTGGCAAGCCGACGTGTGCCTCGCAAGACACTCGAGCAGTGCATAGGCCTGCTGATTTGGGCCACCAGCATTGCCCTGCACCTTGATCCTGGCTGGCTCCGCTTTACGCGGACCTCAACAGCCCACCAGGCTCCATGCACTCAATACCACCGCAAATGTGGTCGGCCTTTCGAGCATCCTTGTCAAAAGATCTCAAAACTGGTCACAGCCTGCCGGGATTGTGGATCACAGCGGGCTCCAAAATCTTGGAAATTTCAGGCCGCACCTTGCGTTGCATTGAGGACATTCCGCGAGTGCCTGGCACTAGCAAGCCCACATGGGTGCGCATCGCGGACCCCAATAACCCATACACTAGCCTTTCCAAGTCAAGTCAACAGTGCCTTACTTGGTTGGCGTCGTGCTTTCGACACTCACCCATTCAGCCGTTGGCACGGCCACGCCAGCTGCAATCTCTGGCTGCCGCCGACGCGTGTGCGGAAGGTGAAATGGTGGGAATTGGGGGCTGGGCAATCACATCCTCCCAAGTGGTGTGGTTCGCCGAGACCTGGAACACGCAAGACATAAGAGCCGTGTGGCCTTGCCTTGTCAAGCCAGCACAGCGGTATATCGCATGCTTTGAAACACTTGCGCAGTTAGCACTGCTGCAAGCAACCCACAGCCACATTGGTGGTGGGCACTACTCGTTTAGCATGCCGTCCGGCACGGACAATTCCGCCACAGAAGCAAGCCTTAACAAATTGTTCACGACCTCATGGCCGTTGCAACTTTTTGTGCAATTAACAGCCTTCTGGGCGCACGCTCACAACGTGCTGTTGCAGCCCACGCACGTTCCAGGAAGGTGCAATGATTGGGCAGACGATCTCAGCAGAGGTCGGTTGGCCCGATTCAGCCATCGCCCTGAAAGTCGCATGCGCTTCAGCCCTGCGAGCCTGGCGATGTCGGGCCGAGGCATTCAACTGTATCCGATGCATGCGCCCTGGCGTCCAGAACATTTGGCAGCAGCGTCCATTGTCGCGGAGCCAGCCTAGCCTGCATTCGACTTGGCCTTCCGAACCCTTTTCTGCCGTTGCCTTGTCAGCCAGAACAACTGGCAATGTCAGCCAGCCGCTTGCGCAAGCCGCTCTGACCAGAAAAAAGTGCAGTCACCGCATGCCAAGCTGTTCACAACACAGCGTGCATGGTGACCCTAGCATCTGCCCTGCCAGGTACAACCCCACTCTGAAGGGCGGGTGATGAGGCCTTCGGCCCAGCTGGTTCGCTTTTACCGGGGTTGACTGAAACACTGAAGGGGGGGTCAATGTGCCTCCTGCTCCAGGCGCACTAGTGCCCTGGAAGCAGTGCAACTTTCAGCAATCCCGGTGAAAAGAACTGCGGCCGCTTCGGACGAGCTTTGTTCTTTCGAGGTTTCATGTTTGGGTTCAAGCTAGGAGCAGTGCGACATGCCTTAACGCTTAGGGTTTCTTTTCCCTTGTGTTTAGGGCATGTGGTGAATCGAACTATGCGTTGGCCGTTTTGCTCCTAGCCTTGACCCAAACCTGCGGTTTCATTTCGAAACCCACCCACCCACCCTGCATTGCCCTATGCCAGGCTTTGCCAGGATTAACGGCAGTTTCTCTGCACTGTCGTGGGTCGCCTCCGGGCACTGTGGTCTCCGGACTAGGTCTCCGGACCAAAGTGGTCTCCGGACCTCAAGTCTCCGGACTGTCGGTCTCCGGACCTTGGGGCGTGGGCACGCGTGCCGCGCCCCCCCAAGCACTGCATTAACCCGCAAGGACACGCATTGTCTTGCCTTTTCACATTTCGGGGGGTCAATGTGCCTCCTGTTCCAGGCGCACTAGTGCCCTGGAAGCAGTGCAACTTTCAGCAATCCCGGTGAAAAGAACTGCGGCCGCTTCGGACGAGATTTGTTCTTTCGAGGTTTCATGTTTGGGTTCAAGCTAGGAGCAGTGCAACATGCCTTAACAGTAGTAGTAGTAGTAGTAGTAGTAGTAGTAGTAGTAGTAGTAGTAGTAGTAGTAGTAGTAGTAGTAGGAGCAGCAGCAGCAGCAGCAGCAGCAGTAGTAGTAGTAGTAGTAGTAGGAGTAGCAGTAGTAGCAGTGCGTTGTTGCTCGTGTTGTGTTTGTGTTGTTTCTTGTTAGTTTGTTCCTTGCCACTGACTTTTGGCTGTTAATCTTTAATATTCAAAGGTATTACTGGTAGTACATAATTGTGCGCCGTCTCTGGTTGAAATTGATTTGTTGTTGTATTTTCAAATTTTGTCAGTTTTTGTCAGTTTCTGTCGGTTTCTGTCGGTTTCTGTCGGTTTCTGTCGGTTTCCGTCGGTTTCTGTCGGTTTGTGTCGTTTTTTTTTTTTCTCCGGGGGGGCCTTACGATCTGTTCACCTACGGTCTGTTCCCCGAAATTGTTTTAATGAGTCTGGCTCACTGGCAACGAGCAGCTCCGTGAGAGTTTCATCGCCCAGATTCCACCCGCCGTCTACGACATGTGGTATCCAGGAGACAAAGTGATTGCGCAGCTAGAGCTTTTGATGGTGCTTCTAGCCCTGATTGCCTGGCCCAGCATGTTCCGAGCAAAGAGAGGTGTTTGGTATATCAATAACACTGCTGCGCTTATGTGTTTGATCAGAGGCAGATCTGACTCGCCAGATTTAGAGCGCGTGGGAGGCATGATCCATGCAGCAAATTTCGCCCTACGCTTTGCGAGCCTTATAAGAAGTCTGAGCCAGCTGTTGAATTCTGCTTTGGAAACCGTTCAGCCAAATGAGGAAATCTTAACACCGAGAGGTACATGTCAGTAACACTGTGTATGGTTTCAAAACGTGATTGAATGTGCAGCATTGTCAAGTTTGGACAATGCTGCCTGTTTTTGAATCTCCAAAAGTGTCCTAAGCTTCACTTGTGAGGATGATTGGCAACTTGTTGTTCAGTGTGTGCTGAAACTATGTCTTGCGCACACACACGTTCATGTTGTGCGTTGACATAAGGCGGTTTGCAGTGCAACTTGATATTCAAAGAGTGTTCCAGTCAAACGCTATTCGATTGACAAGCTGGAAACAGAAAAGGCACTTATGTGGCACGCTGTGTCGGATGTTTGGCTCGCTTTCAGCATGGCATTTGCTCATGCGGTGATTTTCATTGCATATAAGCTGTCATTGGACGACCGGAAGGAGAAGGGTCGATGTACTGCGCGGGAAGTTCTTGCTTGCCATCGCCATGAATTTCGGCGCCGATCTCCCGGATGATATTGCCACGGTCTTGGGATACTGACACTTTCTTCAATCAGGAAATGAAACGCTACCCCCCCCCAAGGCTCCCCCCGCCAAAAAGTTAAGGGAACTTGAGCTTTTTCATGGATATTTGGAGATGACGATGTTTCGCCTCGACAGGATCTATTTGTGACTGACTTGGCCCACAGATTTGCCAGAATGCTGTTTGGCGGGAGTAATGCATTGTGAAACCCGGTGAGTTTGGCGGGCGGGGGGGGGGAGGGGGGCGGGAAGTGAAGGGGAGGGCAGGGGAAGGGCAGCAGGGGGAAGGGCAGGGGGGGAGGGAAATTATATTTTTTTGGGGGGTACCACAAAATGACGCTATTTACACATTTCGTGGTACCCCCCCAAAATGTTAAGGGCGTTTTAAGCCAAACACGACTTAAACCGTCCGAAAGTTGCTGGGAGGGGGGGGGGTTTCCATTCTGACACACTTACGCTGACCATCCCCAGTATGTCACAGAATCACATTTCAGCGTCTGGACTGATTTCACAAACGTGAGCTGGGAGAAACGCAGACACCGATCAACTAACAGGGCTGGTGTTGGGCGGGTTTGGCAAGCTCAGTTGAGCTTAAACTAGGCTTAACTAGGCTTAATTAATCTTAGTTAGCAGAATGTGGTTTTAGCCAACTAAGCCTAATTAAGCCTAATTAGGCCTAATTAAGCCTAATTAAGCCAAATTAAACTCAATTGTCCTTGCCACAAGGGCTATCCTTAAACCACGCTTAACTTTTTTTGGGGGGGGAGCCTTGGGGGGGGGGGAGCCTTGGGGGGGGGAGCGTTTCATTTCATGAGTCAAGTTGTAGCGGAAAAGTTGAGATAACCTTTTGTTTTCCGAAGACTATTTATATGTATATCCTCGGGGAACAAACCAAAATGTAACATGGAAGGCAGCTTTCCGTTTTTGTGTAGTCTTTGCATTCCCGAAACATGTCTGCAAACCATGCGAAGCTTGGCACCATGTTTCAGTTTTCGTTTTCACATGGGTTGAATGAACTCCTTTTGACACATGGTAGCGTCCATGGTTGGTCATGCCGTGCTTCAGTGAAGATGCTGAACTTTACAAGTAGGTTTGCGCCACTTCCGTCTGCGCGCGTGTTGATTTCAAGGAAGTTCTGTTCTTGCGGCTTTGGACGGTGCAATGCGGAATTCAAAATGGCAATGACCCCAGATTAATTGACCCCAGCTCAAAGAGAGGGTGTTCGCCACGAAACTCAGGGACACCATGTTAACGAACTGATGAACCTGGGGTCAACATTAGTGGCCGTGCCCCAAAGGAGACCAGGGCGGCGTGTCCTTGTGTGGAGGTCGCGTTTTTTTTTGGGGGGGTGGTTTTGCTTTCAAAGCCAAGTGAATGCAGTGGTAAGCCCGAATGAAGTTCAAAGCCCGAAGGAAGTCCAATGGCTGAATCCTGGCTCCCAGCCATCCGGTTCCTGATTTTTTGTTTTGTTTTAGCTTTTTGGGGTTTAGTGCTTGGATTTCCGAATTGAACTGCAAGTTCGTCCCCTTTTGGTCGGATTTCTGAATTTCGCCCACGAAAGGATCGTCGCTTCTGGCGGATCAGAAAACCGCTCAGGCGCCCAGCGAGGATCTCCTGCGGTTGCGGCCGTGAGCCTCCGCTTCGTTCGTTCGTTGGATCGCTCGAGCGATGCGAAGGGAGCGGAAGGACTTGGGGGCGCTTTTTTTTTCTGTCGCATGGGGGTTGGGGGGGGAGGGAGGGGAGGGAGGAGCACCCTTCCCCTCCCTCCCCTCCCTCCCGCCCAGCCCCCATGACTTTCTGTGCCATGGAACACCCCTTCCAAGAAGATGGGCTTGCTTTGGAGAATGGTGAGTTGGAAGTTGAACTCGTATGTTTGGCATCAGCTACGCAGGTTGGAGTCCAATCTCTACCTAAATAAATGCAACAAGGCTCGAAATTTTGTGGGAGGTCTTTTCATTCCCATGGAAAGGACACTGCTCCTTGCATTGCCTTGTGGTTTGTTTTTGGAACCTCATCGTTTTCAAGCACTGGTCTTTGCATCGGCGTGGACATCCGGCATCGGTGTTTGATTGGGAACCAAGTTCAGAATGGTCGACCTTGGCTTCACCAGTAAGTGAAGGTTCAGGGAGCGTGACAAGCAGAATGTCGGGTGTGGCCAGAAGCCTTTGTAGTTCTTTACATTGGTCTGGTAGACCATGACAAACACCGATCAGTTTTGAGTGTGACTCAGGTCCTATGTTGCTCTAGGGGAGAATCGGAAAAGTAACCATCCTTGCATCTAAATTTCGAAGCGATTCCACAAGAACAAGAACTAGCAATTGGATCAAGAGTACCATGATACCGACCTTGCAGGTAGACACGCTGAAGCAGGAAACCTGGAAGAATCGGCATGTTCTTGGGCATCAATGGCCCTGCCGATCATGAGCATGGCCTTATGAGAGTCAACATGACAGATAGCCGTGAGGTCAAGGAGAGTCACTGTCCGTGGCTTGGGTAGGATGCGTCCGAGGCACTCGATGAAGGACTTGCATTAATTGGAAACCGGATCTTTTGGATCCGAACATCATGACCGGGATCCTGATTCATGTCGCAATGTGGGTCGCAGGTACTTTAAGCTCAGCGTCTATGGTTTGGCTTTGGTGGCCATGTGCGAGCTGGCTTGCGGCATGTACAGCGCGGCGCTGATCGACATTGCGTGGGGCCACGGCAATCGAAGGGGGGACGCAGGGTTGTGGAATGACCTCCCAACAGGCCATTGAGCGCTATCCGAAATCCACTCCGAGTCGCATTGGGGAAACCTTTCAGATGTAAGATCAATTTGGATGAGGGTCTGGTCATTATTGCTGATGCAAATGCGATCCAGAAAGAGTCTTCTTCGTGACCGCCAGAGTGCCATCATCAAAAACTACGCCAGCAGCGCCAAAAGGTACGCCCCACACAGAGAATTTTTAAAATTCTTGGGAAACTTCTGTGGCAGTTCTTAGGGCGGCCCGTCTTTTTTTTTGTTTTTGTTCTCCATTATTTTCTTTCTTTCTTTCCTTCCTTCCTTCCTTCCTTCCTTCCTTCCTTCCTTCCTTCCTTCCTTCCTTCCTTCCTTCCTTCCTTCCTTCTTGCTTTCCTGTTGCGTTCTTTCCTTCCTTCGTTTGCTCTTAAATCCTTGTGGAGGTCTTTCACGTTTTGTGATCCTGCTGACTGTCGATTATATAAGCCCTTGGATACAGGCGGCAACAAGCACTTTTGAATATGAAAACGGGCCCTTTT